GAAAGAGAGCATGTTCCAAGAGGCGATTCACCAAGGAACTAGAGGGAATGGATATAAACTACATAAGCAGTAATGCAACCTGGTTGTTAGATCCAGCTTCTTTAGTAACAAAGTAGTGAACAGTTGGAACCGGTTTCCAAAGGAATTAGTAGATTTAGGAAGCATGACCGCATTTAAGCGAGCCCTGGATGAGTGATGGTTAGAGCTCTTTCCAGAGTAGGATCTTTATTGTAATATAGAACGCCTTCATGACCCATGTCCCTTGTTCGCCTATGAGGTGAAAGGAGGCGAGCTTTTTCTTTTCCCTTTCAGCAAGGAGGCCGTACTGAAGGCAATTCGCAGTGGTGGGTGCACATCTTGTGAGCATACTGCCGAAAGAAATCTGGACGCTCGATCGGCCGTGGTCATTATCAGTCCTGTGCAACCTGACCTGACCTGAACTGAACTGAACCTTGAGACGCGGTACGTTCAAAATTTAACCTCGCTATCGGTTTTTGTATTCCTACAAGTTTTATACTTACTCGGCTCCAATTATTTCCTTCCAACCCGCAAAAATCTTTTATCATACCGTCCAACCATTCAATGGCTGACAAAACCTCCCTCGGATCCTCCGACGAGGACACCCTCCCGATGAGCTTAGATGAACTTTTGTTGGTCGTGGATAAAACTCTTTCACAGGCCAAAATGCTAGGCATAATTCAGGAACAGGCCTTAAAACTAGGGAGGTTGAAGGCTGAAGTCAACGCTCTCGGTGACCAGGTCGCCAAACTCAACGCCCTTATGTTGAACTCCCCAGTTCACTTCGCGGCAGACCGAGCGATCAAAGTCTCCGAGCAGCAAATACTAGATACAGCAAGACTGTTACAGGCAGATGCGACTGCCTCGAAAAAGGTTATCTTCTGGGGACATTTCCCGAGCTCTTTAACCCCTCAGGAAATGACAAAGTTATTCTTTAAACATCTGAATACGACAGTTTTCAAGCCCGGCAAATGCTCGTGGATTATCCCGAAGAAAAGAAAAACTCCCCATGGCCTCGTAGTAGATATGGGCTCTTCTTCTACAGCCCGTAAGCTCATCACATTCGCTCCTTTCCCGAAATGATTCTGCAAGGGTCTCAGAGGGGTGTCAGTCGATAAACCCCTTCACCTTAGGCTTCCTGTTCAGAAACAGAACGCCCCCTCTTACCCATCGACAGACTGCAAGCTTCTCCGGAGCACCTTCGCACCGGTCATACTTCTGGAAACTGATGTGAGCCATTCACAGCCCATCTCACCCCATGTTTTCCCACCAAGCGAGACAGTGGTCTGCCTCAAGCNAAGCCAGTAGCACGCAGCTCGGCGAACACAAGCCTATGCTCTGCACTCTCAGAGCTCAACCACAGAGAAAAGACGTCGGTGCTTACGGTCCCCAGGACCACAATCCAGATAACGCAAACCCGATTCAGAGCGATCAAGGCCCCCTGGAGTAAAAAGGGCCTACTGGGTGATCCCCTCGGCCTAGAAAGTAACACA